AGTTTGTCTGAATCCTTCTGAGAAACTGGTGCACAGATTTGACCAATACAGAATAAAACTGTTATATCCTATGACTTGGATCCATGCTTTTGTTGGTACAGTCTGTAATTATATATTTGCAACCACATCACACTGCTGAGTTATATTTAACTTCTTTCTTGTTCCTTTTTTTTTTTGTACATATCAGGAAAAACAAAACCCTTTTTGCTTTTGTTAGCATCTTTTGCAAGCCTTAGTAGTTTTAAGCTTGAATTTTGCTGATACTCTTCTACTCTTCCAGGGTACTCTGACTTTGTCTCTCTTTCAGTCTCCTATATCTCCTTTTTTGGTTGCTTTGTTTTCTGATTTTCATCAATCTTTTTCTACAGCCACATTAGCTTCTTCTGTCCTTCATTTATATTTGCCATTATTTTATCTTCATTTGTAGGAACTCTCTCAACACTCCCTTTTCCATTAGCTTCTGTATTATGGATTTTGTTTATCGTTGTTCTGAGTTTAGTGAAATCTGCTTCTTTTTTTTGAAAATTTTTATTGTTTTAATTAAACAAAAACACCAAAAAAGAATCATCTTTCGTTACATCTTGTAGAAAGCGTGTCGATTGGTTACAAATACATTTCGTGCGTTTCTTCCACAATCATTACATATACTTCATTCAAATTGAATCGTATATTTTAAATCAGAAAATTTTATGAATTTTACTATCACTGTACCACAATTCTCATTTAATTACAATTATTTAGATGTGTTTTTATCTAAAATCATTTTTATTTAAAGACACAACCACCTACTGGCATTCAATAAACCTCCAATAACATTACACCTTTATAACATATTCTGAAACAAAGTCAGTTCATAAAATATCTAAGCATTTCCCCCCCCCCAACTCACAATTTAAAGCTTATCTCCAATTTGCTTTTATCATTAAACATTATCCATTAACATTTCCTTATTATTATTGTGGTTAACTAAAAATTATTTACTATTTATATCACCTCTCCTCTCATCAGGCCCCAAAAAAGTTTCTCAGATTGTGAAGCAGTGAAATCTGCTTTTGAAGTCCAAAAATGCATATTTGGCTTCACTTGGCTTTAGTTTATATTTTCTCCTATTTCCATTTTATTTATTAAGTCTTCCTTATTGTTTAGTCAAGCACAATAGATTCTCTTGTATGATAACCTCTAAAAGAGAAAGTTATGTAGGCATCTGGAAGGACATGGAGATAATATTCTCTACTAGTCTGAAAAAATGATGCCTCTGCTCATCTACACTGGACTTATCTCTACTCATACTCTCTACTCATTTATACATCAACACTGGAGGTTTTTATGAAGCGATTCAACGACAATTTGTCTGAAATGGTATACGGTTTCCTGCTTCAGCAGGGGGACTAGAAAACCCCCAAGTCCCTTTCAATTCTGCTATTTGGTTATCTAGTCATTAAAATGGTTCTTAAACAGTGACACAATTTTTCATGCTCCCATGAAGGAGGAAATTGTAAGTAGAACTACCACTGCTTTATAAATAAATGGCAAACATTAACAAATAAAGTTATGTTATTTCGGTTTAGTAGCCCAAGAGAATAGTCCTTCAAAATTACCAGTAGGTTCAAGTTTGTTGTTATTTAAATCATAATAGTTGTTTTATTACACTTTTTCTTTGGAGTACCCAAGTGAATTAATAGAAATTTCTTGTTATAGTGAACCATGCTGGTAGCTCATAGGATCAAAAACAGAATTACAACCTGTACCTACATGTCAATTTCTGGAAATAAGCTCATTGTTGCAGCCTTGAAAACCCCCTCCCCAACACACAAACTCTATTATTGGGGAAAAAATAATCATTGCACACTAAGTTGCTTCTGGGTTGTCTGAGTTTCCAGGAGATATGTAGCAGGATTGTGATACTATATGTGAAATCAGTTTGGGGCAGTTTAGTGAGAGTTGCACAGGAAGCTCAAACCCCATCCACTTTTACCAGTTTAGAATTCTAAATAGTGTATGGAAAAGCAGACATTCTGACCTTGAGCCATGTTGGGAAACAAACATAATTGATACCATATTTGACATACTGATCCTAAACATTAGAGAGATGGTGAATGTATTCAAAATTGCCAGGAGCAAAGTGCAATAGGCTTAACATTCCCATGTCTGAACTGTAGAATTTGGGGATGAGAGAATTGTAGGATTTTTGCTTCCACCAAGCTCACTGAAAATATATGGGCTACAAACATTCCATTTGCAATCTTTAACTCATTTGCTCACCTTTCATCAGAAGGACTTAGATTATTACCTGATTTCAATGACAACCATGCAACATGGAAAGTAATTGTATAATGAAAGCTGAATTAGGAAAAAAAACGTAAGGATGGAGTGTGCTAGTCCTAAAAGCTAATAAAAAAGCACTGATACTCCTCATGTGTGCAAACAAAGATGTCATGAATCTACAGAGTGAAACAGGATTAAGCATTATGCAAAGACTTTTTAAACTGGTTTGTTGAGCAAATTAAATTAGCATGTGAGGGGATTTATGCTAACACAAGGGCAAACATAGCAAATTTAAGATCATACATAAATCAGGCTATTCTGAAGCTTAGAGGACAGATACATAAAAAGGAAACCATTTGATCTTGCATTCTGGCAACAGTAAGAACTAGTTCAACATTTGTCTATATAACTTTCATCTGAAAAACTACATGGAAGGCACAAGCTTTGAAACAATTTAAGTTCCTCTAAACAAGAGCTAATTTGTACAGTTTATAGGTTAACATTCCATCTCCAATAACACATTGATAATTATTTAAAAGTACACAAAGGGAAGTTAATTTCTGTCTACTTCTGAATTGGCAGTTAGAATAATACGTTCATACAGATTAGTGTTGCGCTATTTTTTTGAATCTTGATTCTGCAACTGATAGGGTAGCTGTGAATATTATAATTTATGATAATAAACATACATGAACATTCAATTTTTGCATTTCATTACACTTTTTATTTCTGAATATGTTGCTTCAAATTACTGTCTGGTGGCTTTCCAGTATTTTATTTCCAATTTATTACGATTATTTGAAGGTGATCTTTATATGTTGAAGCCTTCCCTTGTGGCAGAAGGCATGGAAGAAACAGTATCAACATCCCGGTAGCTTTATCCATTCATTCATTCAATTTAAACTGTGGATAAATTACACTCATCCAAATAGTATCATTTGCTCATGATCAGCCAACTTAAGGAAGCCTAAGGGCAAAATTATATTCATTAATTTAGAATGTATTTCCTTTATTGTCTGTAAAAAAAAGGAAAAAGGAACACTGTATATGAGAGGTAGAACACAAATGTTTTAGTTTATATAATGACAATGGAGCATAACAGAAAATTGAGGGTTGGTTTTTGGGGGAGAGGTATTCAAAGGAGTAGCTCTGTTGTTTAGGAAACAAAAGGGTCAATCACACAACAGAGGATAAAAATGATCAAATGACTAGCCAGAGGCTAAAATACATGTATGGGAAAGAGTGACAGATTGTATATTAGCAGGAAATTTGATCTGGAAATCAGTTGAAGGCTTTTTAAAAAAGCTGATGTGACTTTAAAAAAATAGTTGTGGTGTATTTGATCTTTCAAGATATGCACAATATAGCTGCTTAATGGAAATTAGAGAAAGGTGTTTTGAAGTATTTCACATTTATTTGCTGTTATTTCTTTTTTTTTTTAAAATCCTCTTTGCATTAATTGGTGCCTTTTAGTCACCACCAGAAAACAGCAGTTTTATAACACTTCAGATATCCTCCTAATTTTCAAATTATGTGCCTTTCTAACACCTAATCATATTTTCACATTGCAAAGTTAATGAAAGTTCTTCTTAAGAATATGTCAGTTGGGAAGGTCAGCTTGACTTGGAGAACCTCCTTGAGTCAATACATGAATGCTTCCTTATTTAGTAATTTCACAATGGTTTTTAATTTCACCTTCCTATAGGTACATGGCATTCTGGTTTAATACAATTCCTTTTTTATAGATATTATGTTCATGTACTTCAACCTACAATATATAATCTTTAACTTTCAGGGCTGCAAATTTTTATAGCTGCTACTTACTGTTTTAATTTAATAACAACAATAAATATCTGTGATTTTATTATCATGAAGAACTTCTTAATGAATAAGCTGGTTTATATCTGGGTAGTATTTTCCCAAGGATTTCAAGTGCCTTGGTTTTCCAGTGCAAATGATAAAACAAAACTTTGCATTAAATGAAGATGGTCACAAAACTCAAATGTTATTGATGTGCTTGCAAAGTGTCCATCACTACGACAAGGATGGTAGAGAGAGAATCTGTTGTAATAACTCATGAGCCTTGGTGATGAATAATCAATGTCACATGCTGATTTTAACTGCATCTTTTATTTCCCTACCTCTTGTAGGAATAAATGGCATTATTTTATCTATATAGTATAAGCAATGATGAATAAGATGTTTTAATGTTCTCTACTGTTTTTAATGCTTTTTATTGTTGTTATTGTTTTTAAATGTTTATAAAAATTTTAATAGTAGTATATGTTTTGGATTGTAAGATGCCCAGGGTCATTTACTGAGAGGGGGCAGCTATAGAAATCAAACAAATAATATAATAAATGACATAAAGTACCGGTAACCTTCCCTAATCTGAAGCCTCTTGATGTGTGCCTCTGAAACTCTAGGCATCCCCAGTAGAACTTCTTATCTGAGTTAACTGTTGGGCACCAAGTTAGAAAAGATTGCTTTAGGACTTAATTCAAAGGTAAAGCAATTCACGGTTCAGTTACCTCTAAAATAAATATATTCATGTTATAACCATGTTTGAACCTTTGTCAGAAATACGTGAAGGATAAAAATTGGGTTATGTTGGTGGTGCCACCCTATTCAATGAGATCTTTAGGCCTTTTCCTTCCCCTTTACTCTGAACTGATAGGTCTAAATGTAGAATGGCCAGTATCTCATTCGACTAATACTTGGTTCTATGTTTGCAGCTATGTCTTCTTATCTTTATGTCCTTAAATCCGAACTTCCTGGTGCTATTGCAGGATTTCTCAATGGAGACCATAGTGGGTAAGGAGCTATTTAAAATTATTCCACAAAGGGAAATGCAATCATTTTCTTTGCATGCCTGGGGGGGGGGAGAGATAAATGGGAGTTTGCAGATGTCCACACCTGTGCCTACCAGTTTGCAGTCTAAATGTGATGTGTTCTTCACAAGTGTAATTCCTTGCTGACTTAGTCCATAATGATTAATAGGAGCCTGCAAGTTACAGCTTGTTGTCAGCATCTTTTATATCTGCAACGCTTATGAAAACATTTTGTTCTTATTTGTGCCAAATGTGGAATTCTTAGAGCGAGCTTGCAAATTCAGTAGGACTGTGTAACAACGATTTTTCCCAAACTGGACGATTTCAGGCTGCAAATAGATGGAGATTAGATATGTTCATCTTTCTACCTGCATATTTTAAAAAGCTCTTGTACATTAGGAAATCAGGATAACAAGGCAAGAAGCGAAGCTAGCATGTCACTTTTTACATTTCAGTAGACAAGCGTTGAAATATGCATACATTCTTTGAAGTGGTATGGCTATTGCAGTCTTCCCAACTTAGGGTCTTCCATATGGTTTGAGCAAAGATTCCACAATTTTCAGTGGTAAAAGTATCTAAAGAGTAGATTGGATCTAATAGTTGTTTAAACCGAGATTAAAGTATATTGAAAACCTTTTTCTGGGACTACATTAAGTGCTTTTTCCATTACTTTGCTCTTCCTGTTCAGTTGGACAGAATTCATGTTTTCCTTTTTTGACTGGAAAATTCAGCTTTCTAACTCAAGGTCTGATATATGCAAGCCCTATTTAATTATCTTTTAGATCAACTGTAAAATAAACCAATAGATTTTTTTTCTTATAGAAACAACTCCCAAATTGTATTTTTCTTTTCCTTACTGCTGGCTTCACAAGGTGACCTCATCCCATACCTTTCATACAGAGATAATTTGACATAAATATTTTTCACTTTGCAAAATAAAATGGATTTCTTTTGCAAAATAAAACTGATTTTTTATAAATTAATACTGATTTCTTTTGCAAAGTAAAATTGATTCACTTTGCAAAATAAAATGCTACCGAGATGAATCCTAATTCCTATTGGATTTTGTCACTTGCCAAAGGGATCACACTAGGCATAGAGCATAAGAACTGAGCTTATGCCTCACCTTAAACCTTTTAAACTACTCCTTTCATTTTACTGTATTAACCTCTTTTAAAATCAACTAAGCAAAATTTGGCAGGTACCAACATTTTAAAATATTTTTGTTTTTGATGAGTAGTTCCTAGAGTTGCCTTCAGGAATTGTTCCAGTTTTCCTATTTATTTTATAATCCTTCCAATTTGGCTGTGCAGCTGTGTTCACTATATCTTTACTATTAACTCAAAACCAAACACACACACACACACACACACACACAGACACAGGAACACATATATAAACACATATATAGTGAGGGTTAGTTTTCTGACAAAATGTTCCAATGTTAAAATAGCTTGCTCTTGTTTTGAATAGGCTGTCTTTGTTCCTGCTTGTACAATTAAATAGCTGAAGGCTATCATTTGTTTGCTTTTCTAGTTTTCTGGTTTCATGAATTTGAACTTTTATCATTAAATATACTTTTTGAATGGTAAGTCAATAAAAAATATTTTAGGTGGTTTTTTTATAAAAAAGGCAAAAGCAGCAAAAGTATTTTTGTTGTCCGTCCCTGGACTGACCAAATTAATACTATATCGATGGTGGGTTGCCAATTTTTTTACTACCGGTGTGCTTGCAGAGCCTTCCACTGCCACTACTACTGGTTTGTCTTATCCGGACTGAACTGGGAGCAACCCACCTTTGTACTATATGGTGACTCCATGTTCATAGGAAAGCCAGGCCATGAAAGGATTCCTTCCTGTGTTCCTGGAAGGAGCATCAGGGCCCTGAACTAACCTTCTCAACCCTTCTCCACCCCAAATTCTGAAAAAAAGAAATAAAAGAATGCATGATTATACAGTCTACCACAAGAAAGGAATTATCTCCCCTTGCCACATAACCAACAGAATCAGAATAAAATTGGGGAAAGTAGGCAATGCAAGCTCCTTCACCTCTCTAGTGAATACAATCAAATGTCACCAGAACGTCACAGATAAAATAGAAGACACTGTTTTTACCGCTTGTATTTGTATAGATTTGTATAGACTGTTAGCTGCTTGATGTTGCATGCCACAAAATGGGAGGTCATATGCACTAATCAATTAGTCAATCAATCAAATAAATAAGCAAACCTCTAAGAGGTGAACAGGTGATTCTAATATCAGTAGTCCTTCAAGAATTATGGACATGCTGCTCTGGAACAATCAAATCCTTTTCTCATTAGGGCAGTAGAAACAGCAGCAAAGGAGCTGGGTAAGGGCTTGTATTGATCAAAACGGAAGCTCAGAGCTGTCAGTTGAATGGCATTTCTCTAGATACCTTTTGCAGCAACTCATCCCTACCACAGGAGACTGAGACAGCAGCAAAAATAGCAATAGCACTTAGACTTATATACCGCTGCATAGTGCTTTATCTCTAAGTAGTTTACAGAGTCAGCATATTTCCCCCAACAATCTGGGTCCTCATTTTACCGACCTTGGAAGGATGGAAGGCTGAGTCAACCTTAACCTGGTCAGGATTGAACTCCTGGTTGTAGATAGAGTTATCCTGCAATTCTGCATTCTAACCACTGTGCCACCATAGCTCAGTACCAAGTGGCAGCTTACTCCAGCAACCAGAAAGGTTACAACTGATTCTTTTATACCTATAGAAGGGAATATCTATAGCTCAGAATTGAACTGTAGAGTCCCTAGTGCTCCCTGACCATGGTTGTTTGCTTGCAAATGTTTCATTACCTAACTAGGTAGCATCATCAGTTCAAGTGATGGTTTGATGGGTTTGCTGCTGTTTATATATAATAGCTTGCCTTGCCAGTTTTGTGCCAATATAGCCTCTTCCTTGAGTTTCCTTGATTAGAATTGTTGTGGCCCACCAGCAGCCAGCAGAGCTGGCGGCAGACTCGGGCAGTGAGGAGGTTGGGGAGGAACATGGGCCAGTCCTGGAGTCTGGGGAAGGCTCTGATGAGTGCTCTACATCGGAGGCAGAGATGGGGCCAGGGCCTTCTGACAGTTATCAGCTACCTTTGGAGTTGGAGATAAGTGGGGCAGAAGAACAGCTGGAGCCTGTTCCCGATATGCGCAGAGCTGTCAGGAGAAGGGAACAATTAAGGAACAGACAATGACTCGGGAATAAAAGCACAAGTGGATGCTGAATGGCCACTCCCATAGGGAATAAATAGGAGCAAAGGGCAGTAGTGTTTGCAGGACACAATTAGTTTGTTTATTTGTGTGAAGAATTGCTTATCTGAGTTCCTGCCTCACAGAGACTCTTACCAAGTATTTCATTGTTCAGTGGAAGCTATCGGCCTGGCAACTATCCAAGGACAGATAAGGTCTGTGGTTGCAATTAAACCGTGAAAGGCTTATTGCTGAATGGGAATGCGAGGAATTCACACTAGTCAAATAAAAAAATTTTTTTTTCGGGACCAGGAGTAGGTTTTGTGATTCTGTTCAGAATAGGTCAGAACAAGAGTATTGTTTTTTCCCCCCAGATTGTTATTTGGTATTGATCCTTGCTTATCTGAATATTGGCTGCTAGAGGGGATGTATTCTAGTCTTTTTGTTTCCTTCCTAGGTTTTTATTTTCTCTTTTGAATAGTATGAATTTCCTCTATTGGCTTTCAGGGATCAGGTGAGCACATTAGGGCCAACAGTTAAATGAATAGAAAGGACTCCATGGCTCTGGGGCTTATGAGTAAGGTTTAAATGTACCATAAGAATATCAAGACAAAAATATCCTTGTACAGGTATTCAGCTCAAACAATACCAATTCTGCTGGGCAAGGCAGAAAATAAGCACAACCAGAACAATGCCCAGCCTGCTATTTGTAGTATTTTTCTTTGAGACAAGAGTCCCATTGTTACAATACTTTGATAACATAGTATCAAAGATCAAGAAAGGGAACACTAAGCTTTGTTTTTTTTATTCCCAACTCTAAATTATATCTTCCAGTAGGTGTATTGGAATACACTTAAGGTATAAGTGAGGTTTCCTAGAGATTGATGATGAGCAGGTAATGGTTTTGACTCCAGGTAGTGGTGGTGAGCGATTCCCTTGTGAATGTGTTCAGATGTTGGACTTAGATGTTTAGATCTCTGCAGAAGACCTGAAGTAGCATCAGTGATGTTGCTTATAATTGAATCCTTTGTTTTATGTCATATCATTATTTTTCAGAGGTAATTGTAGCAGCCCCAAATTGGCAGAATTCGGAGTCTTCTTTAAATAGATTTATTGAAAGGGAAAACAGTTTATGTTACAGGAAACATAGTACCTGGATATGTTTATTTAGTGTCCAACTTATTCCCATGTTGATTAGGGTGATTTCTTGATCATCTTACTAACAAAATGTTGATGACTATTCTTTTCACAATGAAGGAAGAATATGTAGATGTTATGTGATTGTAATATTTTGGAAACTGCCATTCTCCAAGGCTCCAAGAAACCCATTACAGAGGAATTACTTTAAGAAAATCTAAATAAATTGTAAAAAGTGTTTGAATTCATGTTCAATTCATCCTAGATAGAGACTTTCATCCAAAGAGCACAACACCAGAGATAGCAATTTGCAAGAGGTTATGGCTAAAATATTGAGAGGGGACACATGCACACAGAAGTAGCAATAGCAATAGCAGTTAGACTTATATACCGCTTCATAGGGCTATCAGCCCTCTCTAAGCGGTTTACAGAGTCAGCATATTGCCCCCACAGTCTGAGTTCTCATTTCACCTACCTCGGAAGGATGGAAGGCTGAATCAACCTTGAGCCGGTGAGATT